ATATTATATAAAAAATTGATGAACAACTTATTTCCAAACTTATAAATATTTTTGCGAGCTTTTCTACTAAAAAAATTCTTTATTTTTAATAGAGAAGTTCTTAAAAATATTTGTTTACATGAATGTTCATAATATGATGTAACATAATACAATAAAAATAACTTACACAATAGATGACATTAAAATGTATCCATGACACAAACTTTAATTATCATTATGCATTGATTAAAAATAATCGACATCAAAAATATACTTATTATCTCGATTATTTAACTTATATAAAATATTGAGACTTAATACATTGGTTGGAACCGACCTAAAAACCTATTTTAGTCTACATAGAAAGAAAGTGTTGTGTATAGTAGTGAAGAGATAATTAATTTTCATCATTCTCCCTTTTATTTTGCCTAACATTTAATGTACTAATCCTATACTTTCGTGATTAGGTCCGCACCGACGGTGGAACCATTTTGCCAAAAAATTTCACTTACTACAGTGACAAGAATGCACCGTCCTATGTAGAAAATTAAATTAAAAAATCAAAATGCAGCCCAATGTTCATGCTAATGTTGAATTGTTTTAGCTAATTATTTTTATTTGTAGCACTCAAGTAAGAATCATCAACTCATCATATTTTATAATATAAATATAATTCTTTATTTTCATTGCTAAAACAGGTCGACCATTTCAATAATAAATAAATAAAATTTAAAAAGTTCTCCAAAATGTTGTTTAAAATATTAATTACATAAGTTATGCTCTTAGTACACCCACACGTCACTCGATTCGTCCCCAATTAGTATTCTTAATATTTTCAAATTTTGTAATTTCTTAGATTATTTTATTCTCCATGGACAATTTATATCAATGTGCTTGTTGAAGTGGCAGTTGTATATAGTTTTCAAGTTTCTGAGAGTAGAAAGCAGAGTATTGAAAATGTGTTAGGTTTTGTAGTGGTAACAAATTGAAGGGATTTTAGGGTAATGGAAACAATGTACTAATGGTGACTAACGGAAATGTTTTCGTAATTAATGTGGTTTTAGATTAGGTAATTAGGTTAGGCCTCATCACTTAATCAAATAACAAACAGAGATAACAGCACAAGTGAAAGAGTGAGGAATTGGTTTGGTTGGTTGGAATTGGAACATAGTGTCGTGATCACAAAGGTAAAGATGGTTTAATTGTGTGACATTAGTTAAGGTGTGGCTCACTTTCGACTGTCTACAAATGTATCACTGCTAAGGTATGACGTGGGGGTGGTCACAACTCTTATTATATTTGAAATCTTCAAAAGGAACATTTCAGCATTTTTATTTGTGAGTTCATTTATTTATTTATTTATTTATTATTATTATTATTATTATTATTATTATTATTATTATTATTAAGAGTGTTCAAAACCAAATTAACTCAAACGAAAAGTTGTAAATTCGTCCAAAAAAAAAAACCAAAAACTGGTAAAATAAAATTACAAATGAGTTGTTTGGTACAATTTTAAAATTTTCAAAACCGTGTGGCTTAGTTCAATTTTCATAATGGAATTTGAAACCACTTCAAATCAAACCAACTGCAATTATTTATAAATATATATTTTTTAATTGTCATATATCATAAAAAATGTTTTTATAAAATTGTATGCTACTAAAAGTTATTTTTCTCTTCAAATAGATGCTATAATATATAAAAGATATTTTATAAAATTGTAAGCTACTAAATTAAATTTTAAAACAAAAAATTATGATTTATTTATAATGCTCAAAAATATTTATTTTAAGTGACAAATTATACATGAGAAAAATATTTAATATGATAACTAAAATTTTATTAAAGATATATTGTTGCTAAAGTAATATGATAAGAGTTAGTATTAAATACATTAAGTGATAAAATATTTTAGTATTTACATATTTTAAGTTTTATTTTTTTAATGTACAATCTTAAACAAATAATATAATATTAAACATTTCAGTAGATTTATAAATAAGAAATTTTTAAAATCACAAAAACCAAATCAAATAAAATTATAAAAGATTGGTTTGGATTTTATAATTCATTTAAACCAAACTGAACCATACTTAATTTTCTTATTTGGTTCAGATGATTTTTAAGGTAAAAATAAAATCAAACAGTACTATTAACACTTGTAATCAATCCTTATATATTAAATACAAACATTTGTTTTGCTCGAGAGTGTTTTTAGGAGTTTTTTCTTCAACGAGAGAAATTATAAAAATTTTCTTAACTTCTTATATAATTTGATATTTATTTATCATAATTATTTATTAATTAAATATAAATATTTAAAAATAAATTTTTTTATTATTATATAAATTATTTATCATAAAT